TTGCAAAAAAAAAAGGATGAACTTGAGGAGAGAGGGAACGAAGAAGAAGAAGAAGAAGAAGAAGAAGAAGAAAGAAAGAAGAAGATTATACAAGCAAAGTCCAATGATGATAATCCCCCTCCTCTTCGCCAACCAAACTCCTCCTCCTTTTCTCCTCCCCTCTTATTCAAACAATAAACAATAATAATAATAATAATGAATGGCAGAACCAGAATCAATGTCCGAATCCCTCTTCTACTGCCATCACAAGTTGAGGTCCACCATAGCCATGGCCGCGTCCCTCTTCCTCTTCCTCCAGGCCGCGGCTATGGCGGACTACTAGGGCCACATGCAAAAGACAACACAAAGCAGCTATGGCTGCTTCTACTCAGGCCGCCATGCCTGACTCCGCCTCAAAGCTTCTTGGTGTAGCTCTACCCCCAACGGGGGCTTTCCAGATGCAGAGCCTACCAAGGTGATGAAGATGGCGTCCACCATACCCCTGGCGCTCTCCTCTCCTAGTACCTTCCTCCTCCTCCTCCTACCCGAGCTCCTCCAGCATAGCCAAGGTGGGGAGCTGCACGTTCCTCTTCCCCACAGTGCTGCTCCAACTAGCGCTGCTCCAGCCAGCGCTCCAACAGCGTGTTGCCAAAGTTGCATGCAGCGAATGAGCACTTCGCTGCTCTTGGAGATATAGCGGCCTGCTTGCCTTTTGGGCGGTGACTTCCAGGCTGCGCGGCCTCCAAGCAACGGGTACCTCCTCCCTTTTGGAGGGAAACATCATTTTCTGATATTGCCCGTACAGGCCCTAGACTCAGACAACTTGGACTGGTACCCGCCTAGACCTGGCCTACAACTACTGGGCCTCTAAAAACGCCAACTCTGTCTTCTTCTGCTCGGCCTCGAGTACCCGACAGTGTGGTAAGCCTGCCTGCTACTTTAGTGTTTTTCCCCGCTGCTCGAAGTGCCGAGGGCCTATTCCCGCCACTTGAGTGTTTTCCCCGCTGCAGCCCTCAATGTCACGGCCGCAGGTAAGTACCGTCCCTACGGGCCTCCCAAGCAAGCAAGTACCCTTGCGGGTCACACACACAATCAAGCCATCAAGCACTGAGACAGTCACGCAGACCAGCAAGCACGCACACACACAGACTTGGACAACTGAGCAGGAAGCGGGAATCTCGGCAAGGCGTTCATTCTAGCAGCAAAACTTAGAAATCAGCTGTTTGGACAGGTCCTTACAGGTGGTATTTGACCAGACGGTATTATGCAATTCTTGTGCTTGATTATTCTTGTGCTTGATTAAAGGATCTTGCTGGCTATCCCCAACGCCAACCAATTGAAGAAGATTTGCACTGATGAGGGGTACCAAAGGTCCTTCCTACGCTTCCGTTAATAGGATTGTCCCTGGTAGGACTAAGCTCGATTGTAAGGGGTTTCTTCGTATCTCTGACATCTACTCTGGTTACATTTGAGGATGACGCGAAATTGCCTAATTGACTATATCGGCAGGTGAGATTCAAAGAAGTGCATTGCTGCATGTTTCAAGCAATCAAATTTAAGAGAAATTATATGGACGGCCAAGTTCAGGAAGTTACCATGGTTACACCGGACCAGGACCCGGACAGACCATGACGTCCAGCCGCACTGACGTCCGGAAAAATCCGGACGAAAAAAAAAAGAAAAGAAGAAGAAGAAGAAGAAGAAGAAGAAGAAAAGAGAGAAGAAAAAACAAGAAAAGGTTACAGAAGGTTTATAGAAAGGGAGTGAATTGGGCCCTACCTACCTCAAGGCAGTATCCAGCCTACGCACCTCTCTCTCTCTCTCTCTCTCTCTGTGTCTGTCTGTCGCTCTCTGTTTCTATCTGTCTGTCTGCCTGTCTCTCTCTCTCTCTCAAATCAGTCTCTGCCTCTCTCTCTCTCTCTCTCTCTGTTTCTATCGGTCTGTCTGTCTGTCTCTCTCTCTCTCAAATCAGTCTCTGCCTCTCTCTCTCTCTCTCTCTCTCTCTCTCTCTCTCTCTCTCTCTCAAATCAGTCTCTGCCTCCCTCTCTCTCTCAAATCAGTCTCTGCCTCTCTCTCTCTCTCTCTCTCTCTGTGTGTGTGTGTGTGTGTGTGTGTGTGTGTGTGTGTGTGTTACATGCTGTGCCTGCAACAAGCTGCACGGGCCACTTTCAGGCCCATGACGTTTTCAGGCCGAAAGCCTGAAAACAAGGGCCTACAGGCCCCGTGTCGTTTCAGCCTGAAAGCCTAAAAACAAGGGCCTACAGGCCCTGTGTCGTTTCAGCCTAAATCAGGGCCTTTCTGGCCCCGAGTCTTTTCAGCCTGAAACTGAGGGCCATTTTCAGGCCTCATGAGTTCGACCTGCCCTGAAACTCAGGCACCAAACCAGGGTTTTAGCACAGGCCATTCTGGGCCTGTTTTCAAGACAACCCCTGGTTGAGCTTCAACGCCAGGGTCTGGTACGTTTCGGAATTGGCAAGAGCAGCCTCCTGGACGGGCCAGCACTATATAGGACTGGCCCGCCCTGCAGGCTGCAGGGAGTTCCTAGGTACTTCCAGGGCACTTCACGTGCAGTTCAGGAGGTAGGAGGTAGTCTTCAGGACTCCGCAGCAGCACTCTGGAGGAGCGCTGCAGGAGTAGTTGTAGCGCTAGCAGTAGTCTTCAGCGCTGGGTGCTAGTAGCGTTAGCAGTAGTCTTCAGCGCTGGGCGCTCTTAGGAGCTAGAGTAGTACTAGAGAGAGAGAGATTGGGCGGAGGCCAGGGATACCTACCTGCAGCGCCATAGCTCCAGCTTCACCTTCGAGGTACCTGCAGCACAGCACCATCTTCACAGGTTAGTACCTGGCATATGAGAGAGAGAGTTCTTCTTCTTTCTCTTCTCAGTCCACCACCTCCCTCTCACCCTCTCGCTACCTGACTTCACTGCATCAGCAAACTAGGAGAGAGCGGGCTTGGTGACATTTGGATCCAGACTCGACATTGGGCTTCAGACATTTTGACGAGGGATTATTTGGGACTGGTAACAAAGACTTGGTGTTGACGACATTCCCATCTCTCCCCCTCTTCTTCATCTGTTCCCCTCCTCTTCGTCTGTGCATGATTTGGACCTGGCGCATTCTTCCTGTGTGTAGCGCCAGGCCCCTTCACACCTTGTGATGAGGATGATGTATGTTTGGTCTGCGTTGCAACATTGATTGGGCTAGTCATTGGTATTCTAGCATTCTGCTGCGCTGTCTTGATTGGGCTAGTCATTGGTATTCTAGCATTCTGCTGCGCTGTCTTGCACTACGTGATAGAGGTCAGTCCCGGTCAGGTCAGGATTTGTATCTAAGTCTTCCCCTGCACTATAAAGCACCATTTTTGTATGTATCAGAATGTACGCTGCTCGCTGAGATTTCACTTGCACTGCATTGTCCACTCAGTCCTTTTTATCACATTGCGGATCCTCGGCTTTAGATGTACATCGCCCAGAACAGTTGGTATCGAAACACCGCACGTGAATCAGGACAACCTGATCTGACACGTGTGCGGGGACTAAGTAGCTGCAGTTGGTATCGAAACACCGCACGTGAATCAGGACAACCTGATCTGACACGTGTGCGGGGACTAAGTAGCTGATTAGTCTTGAGTGGTTGATTAGAGAACACTAGTTAGCCCCCAACATCACGATTTTGACCTCACTGCTGAAAATCGATTTTTTTTTCTTTTCTTGGATTTTGTTTTCCCACTATTTCTGTTGTGGAAAGTCGCAATAGCGCAACACCTGAAATTTCCGTTTTCGTTTTTCTTCTGGAAATTCAAAATTTCGCTGTTGGAAATCCAAAATATATTTTTTTCAAAAATTTCATTTTCCTTTTGTAATTTCCCGTTATTTGGAAATCCGGAATTTTTTTTTTTATCTCCGAAATTCGTTTTCGAGATTTAAAAACGGTACAGGGAATCCCTCTTGCAGTTATCATTTTCAAAACTGCGCGTACTCTCATCTGAGTAATTCCGAATATTTTTATGTGATTTTATTTTCGGAATTCTCTTATCGGATCATCATTTGCAGTCTGAAAGTCCAAAATTTTTCTCATTCGTAATTTCGCACTTCAGGGGAATTGAGAGGCCTACTGAACTTGCAAACGAGTATTTTTTTTCTTTTTCTCGAAATTTTTGCAAAGTTCAAACTTTTCTTTTTTGATTAGTAGCTCCTTATCTGGGCGATTTATCCAACCCACCCCTCCCCACTTAGGTTGTTGCCCCCTCTGGTCTTATCTTCTCTATCGGTCTCCGGGTACCTCCTGCGGTGGCATTGGTAAGTTGCCATGTCAGCAGACCACGTGGTCCTCGTTAGCAGATCACGTCAGCAGGCCACATCAGCAGACCACATCAGCAGGACACGTCAGCCGAAAGCAGTGCCACGTCAGCAGCAGGGAGTACCACGTCAGCAGCCCCTTTGCCTGGTCTATGCTCACGCGCTTGCAAACAACCGTCATGGACCAGAAGTCTGGGGAAACGGACGAGGCCTATCAGGCCCGGATGCTGCTTCTGATTACTGAAGCCAAGCAACGGTCGAATGCAGTAGCAGCCGCAACTAGAAGAAGGCACAGGATGCCGAGAAGGCACGTCTGTTGGCAATCGAACAGCAGCACCAGCAAGAGGAGGCAGCAACAAAGGCTGCCGATGAAGAACGAATTCAACAACGCGAGAAAATATTCAGCGGAGAGCTGCAGCGGACTGGTGGGCCAAGGCCAAGAATGGGAAAATGGAAGAGAGTGAAAACAAGATCGCTCTACTCCTCTCCCATCTCACGGACCTGCTGGCAACATGCATTACACAGCAGGAGGACATCCATAGCCTCGACGACGCGTTGTCTCAAGTCCACAGCCGCCTCCACCAGCTGGAGCAGCGACCCGTCGCCGCCTCCGATGCCAACTCTTCCAACACCTCCGATCGCCTGAAGACATTGGAGATTGACGTCGGATCCCTCAAGGACGGCGTGCAGTTACAACGAACCGCAATGCAACAGTTGGAGCAGTGAATCTGTACAGCCGCCACCCACTCGAGCTCGGAACCGCGCGAGACGACTCCAAGGTTCGATGATCAAGAGATTTTCTGCAACTAAGACGGACCTGATTCCATGGTTCCACAAGTTCGAGCTCAAGTTGCAGCTCCACCACGTCAGCGAACACAAGCACCACGCGTACTTATACTCCCGGTTGGGAGGCGCGTGCCAAGCATGGTTCGACAATCTTTTGTCCAAGTACGGAGTGGGGGCTGTTGGCTTGCACACCAAGATCAACTGGGATGATCTAAAGGCGGCGTGGCATAAGCGGTTCCAAGTAGAGCCGCGGGAGATCAAGGCAATGGACAAGCTGATGACCTTCGAACAAGGCACGCTGCCGAGTGTCGACTGGATTGCCGAGTACCAACGCTTGGCATCCGTCCCAAACAATCAAATGGGCTTCAAAGCCGTCAAACACTACTTCATCTCGAGGTCGTGTCTGACATTGGGCAATGCCTTGACTCACATGGAGGACACCCTGACAACAACGGCGGAGCTCTTCGACAAGGCCGCGCAGATTATTGTCACGAACAAGGAGGCCAAGAACCTCCACCATTTGTCTGCGACAGGCCCGAGCAGAGATCAGCATCGCCCGAAAGTGGTCGTGGTCGTGACGGCAACGCTAAACGACCAAACTAGTGAGGTCATGTCTGCCAATGAAGGGGACAAACTCGCAGTCGCCCGGGATGGTGGCCGCCCCGACAAAGGACGAGGACGCGACAAGGCGAAGACAAACACCACATCTAGCCCCGGGCCAGGCGCAGCAGCTCCCGCCCCATGGTCCCACTATGGTCTCTCCGAGCAGGCATACAAGGCACGCATGAGATTCTACTATTGTATGTGGTGTAACAACGATCTCCACTACACAATGGGCTGCCCGTGGAAAGGCAAGGGCAAATCGGGAAACTGAGCACCGCCGCAAGTGACTTGACGACACTCTCGACATCTTCGGAACCGGTCGCTTCGCAGGTGACCACCCTTTGTTCCGAGGCACATGCGGAAGTCGATAGTCCTCCTCTTCTATTTTCTTATGAGGACTATGCTGCCCAACTCGCTCCTACGCTGGGTACTCATGCTAAAGGACAAGACGTGTGTGCGGCATCTTCTTCGTCTTGCAGCGGCGACTTATCGTCTTCAAGTGGTTCTTCGCGGGTGACCACCCTTCTTTCTGAGGCACATGCGAAAGTCGATAGTCTTCCTCTTCTATTTTCTTATGAGGACTATGCTGCCCGGCTCGTTCTTACGCTGGGTACTCATGCTAAAGGACAAGACGTGTGTGCGGCATCTTCTCCGTCCGGCAGCGGCGACTTACCGTCTTTAAGTGGTTCTTCACGGGATTTGGCGCGCGATTTCAACACAGAGGTATTGGACCCGCTCACGTCCGAGGATTTCGCAAGGCTTCCTCTCCCGACCATGGGTTGCTTGTCGGGACCACGCAACATTATGCGCTCATCTTCACACATATCTATCCTTCTATGCACCACCAACTTCGTCGACGGATGACGAAGCTGCGGTGAGGGACATCCTTGTGTATGTTACCAAGGTGGCCCTCGAGTTTCGCAAGCAGCGGTACGACGACAACAACGCACCACTCCTCTATGTCCGCATCCAAGTTGAGCAAGTGTCCTGCAACGTTATGCTGGATAGCGGCGCGTCTCGCAATTTCATGAGCCAAGCCTTTATGTAAAGGGGTGACCTTGGCACACAAGTTCGGAGGAAGGCAAACCCGACGGCGATCAAGTCGGCGGACGGAAGAACGCAACAACTTATCAACCGCTACATCGAGGTCATATCGGTGTATTTCACACCTCAATCATGCGAACCGGTGACGTTCGACATTTTGGACACCGACTTCCACATTATTTTGGGAATGCCTTGGCTTGCAAGTGCGGATCACACGGTCAACTTCCACCGGCGGACTCTTACCATTCGAGACACTTTCGGCGCCAAAGTACCATGTACTATTCCTCTTTCGCACCCTTCGATCCGATGCCAAGTGGTGACGACCAAGTCGTTCCGGGATGCTTGTGCTTACGAGCACCCCGACGAAATCGGCCTATGTTTTTTACGGACCGTCGCGGTAGGACTTGTCTTCAGACCCCCGTGTGGTGCGGTTGCTTGACGAGTTCGCCGACATCTTCGAGTCACCTACCGGTTTGGTGCCGGATCGGCCGATCTCTCACGAGATCATTCTGGAGGCCGGTGGCGTGCTGCCGAAAGGTTGCATTTACCGTATGAGCGAGGAGGAGCTTACAGTCCTCCGCGCGCAACTCGATGACTCATTGGACAAGGGCTGGATCCGCCCTAGTAGCTCTCCACATGGAGCGCCAGTTCTCTTCGTATGGAAGAAGAACAAGGATCTACGATTGTGCATCGACTACCGCAAGCTCAATGTGCAAACCGTCAAGAATGTGGGGCCTCTTCCTCGTATCGACGATCTTCTTGAGCAATTGGGCGTCGCAAAGTACTTCTCTAAGTTGGATTTGAAGGTGGGATACCATCAGGTTTCGATCCGGCCGAACGATCGCTATAAATCCCTGTTCAAGACGCGGTATGGGCATTTTGAGTGGGTGGTCATGCCTTTTGGCCTCACCAACGCCCCAACGACATTTCAAGCGACAATGACCAACGAGTTTCATGCGATGTTGGACCGGTTCGTGTTGGTCTATTTAGACGACATTCTCGTCTATAGCCGGTAATTGAAGGATCATCTTGAGCACCTTCGACGAGTGTTGGAGACGCTCCGCCACACCAAGTACAAAGCCAACCACGATAAGTGCGGATTTGTCCGGCAAGAGCTCGAATACTTGGGCAATTTTATCACACCGGAGGGCATCGGTCAATGGTCGGACAAGATTCAAGCCATCCAAGAGTGGCCGGAGCCACGGAAAGTCACGGATGTCTGTTCGTTCCTTGGCCTTGCAGGCTACTACCAACGTTTTATCAAAGGATATCGCGACCCACTTGACCAAGCTTCAATGCGAGGATCGATCGTTTGACTTTGGAGAGGATGCGTGAGAATCATTTTTGGCTCTCGAAGCCGCAATATTATCTGCGGAGGTCTTGCGCATATACGACCCGCTATTGCCAACGCGCGTCACTACGAATGCGTCCGGCTATGGCATTGGTGCCGTCCTCGAGCAACACGATGGCGTGGACTGACACCCGGTCGAGTACTTCAGCAAAAAAGTGCCCGTCGTGCACTCCATTGATGATGCACACAAGAAGGAGCTCCTCGCCGTCGTGCGCGCGCTCAAGCGGTGGAGACGCTTCCTCCTTGGTCGAAGTCAATTCCGATGGGTAACGGACAACAATCCGTTGGTCTAATACAAGACCCAAGACACCATCAACAGGACCATCACCCGATGGATGACTTTCATCGACCAGTTCGACTTCTTTCCCGATCACATTCCGGGGAAGTCTAACCGTTTTGCGGATGCTCTTTCACGGCGTCCATATCATTGTACCGCAGTCTATTCGACCTTCGAGATCGACAACGAACTGCGGGACAGTTTCATCCGCAGCTACCAAGCCGACCCCGAGTTTCGCGACAAGTAAGCGAATTGCTCCTCTCCTAATCCGGCGTCTTCTCACCTATGTGTCCGAAACTCGATTCAACGGGGGTTTCCCGTTGAAAGGTTCAACGACTGTTGAACCCCCGTTACAACGCCGCGCTATACCACGTTAGAATGGAGTACAACGCGGCCTGCAAATTTTTTTTTTCGCTGGCAAAAAATAATTAATATATATATATATATATATATATATAGGGGGGTGTAGATTTTTTTGCGATCTACATCCCCATATTTTCATTTTTATTTTTTGAGCATTTAAATTATTTTTAAAAAATAAAAAACCTAACCAAACTCAAAACACATCGATTTTTTAATTTTTTTTTGATTGATTGATTGATTGATTGATTGGTTGATTGATGGGGGATGGGTCGTCCCCCCCACCCCCACCC